GGGGCACAAGTACGCGGTTCATCCATATGATCCTGGTCAGCCATTTGCAAATCTCCCGTGTGGTCTATGCCTTGCAAGGTTAAATGCAGTCCGAGCTGATCATGTCCCAGGCCCTCAGCGTTCGGGGCCACATCGTGAGTAGGGACTGTCGTTGGGAGTGTACTCTGGGCAGGGACCATATCCTGTTGCACGCTGGGGGACAAACGAACATGGAAGGGCATAAGACATGGTGCTGTGGCTGTGTGCAAGCAGCTGGACTGTCTGCAGGAGGCGTAGGAGCGGATGTATCCGTTTGGTACAACGGAACCGCAACAACCCGTGGAGGAGGCACAAAGAGAATTGGGGTAGACAAAGAAGCAGGCCGCTGATCCCTGGCCAAGTGGCGATGTTGTGCATGTCGTCGACGATGATACACAATAAGAGGAGTGGCGATGTTTCTAACAGAAGATGTCACTGGCAATGAAGGCGGAACAATGGGAAGAATAGAAACCAGAGAATCAGTTCTCAAACGAGACCGTGGAGGAGATGGGGGTGGCGAGGAGGAACGCAGCCGTCTGCGGCCAAGCACAGAAAGGGATGAAAGGGGGGTGGGTTCGGCAGGATGTCGGAACATAGGGCGCGAGTGTCAGGCTGGGTTAGAGGAAGCTATACCAGTAAAAACTATAGCATGAGAAATTCGAGGTACAGAAGTAGAGGAAGTGGTAAAAAGTGGAACCGCGGCAGAGACAATTGTTGTAGTAGGAACCGCAGCAGAGGCAACTTCCATAGCAGGGACCGCAGCGGAGGCAACTTCAGTAGCAGAAACTGCTGGAGTGAAACCCGGAGTTGAAACAGCAGCAGTGGAGACCACAGCGGCAGCAGCAGTAGAAACTGCAGCAGTGGAGACCACAACGGTGGAAGCGGCAGCGGTGGAAATGGCGGCGGTGGGAACCGCAACAGTGGGAACTGCATTAGCAGCAGATGAACAAGCAGTGACAGGACGAGCAGCGGAGGCAACTTCCGCAGCAGAAACTGCTGGAGTGAAACCCGAAGTTGAAACAGCAGCAGTAGAAACAGCAGCAGTGGAGACCACAGCGGTGGAAGCGGCGGCGGTGGGAGCCGCAACAGTGGGAACTGCATTAGCAGCAGATGAACAAGCAGTGACAGGACGAGCGCGATGTGGGGATAAAGAAGAAAGTGGATGATGCAAGGACCATCGCAGCATGCGTCGGAACCACTGAGAGAGACGGGTGACGTGTGTAGGATAGCGACGTTGGCGGGAGCGTGTGTAGCAGGTCCATCCTTTAGCGAGGGTTGGTGGGGAATGGCCACGAGAAAGCATGCGACGAGTGAGTGTTGTCGCTGCAGTTCGGAAGTCCTGCCAATTATTGCAGATGCGTTCAAATCTCRTCAATTGCCCAGTGAACACACCTGCCGGTTGATGGGAAGGGATGTTGGAGGTAGCACTTGGATAGCGAATAACAGGGAAATCCCAAGCAGCCGCTTTATCAAACACGCTCATGCGAAGCGAACCATCAGAACGTACCCGTAGATGCATACCTAAAAAGGTACACAAGCCATCTGTAGCCGTAATTTCCTTCCACTCGAGCTCATAGTGCTCTGAAGGAGGAGGTAATTGCCCCCATGAAAGAACATCATCAATGAGGCGGTAAGTGAAGGCGTATCGCTGAGCAGCTTGGGGATCATGTTGACGAATGTCGTCAATAAAGAGTGCTTCATCCCAATAGAGCGTTAGATTGGAGATTTCTGGGCCAGCATTTGTTCCCATTGGAATACCAATGATTTGCTTTCGAAGAGTGTCATCTCTAGCGTACAGAAAAGTATTATCTACAACAAAGCGAAGATGTTGGAGAATCTGAGAAACGGAAAGGTTGTCTGGTCCTGAATCGGTTGTCCATTGGCCAGAGCAAGGCCCGCGAATAAACATGTTCAAGGCTCTGCAGCACGAATGCATGCGGGTATGTTGAAGAGCATAAGCATGAGCTTCATCAACAGCCTTAAAATGCGATCATGAGGAAGGTTGGTTTACATTGTGGTGAAATCAACCGTGCGAGGAGAGAGGCCACGTAGAGAGGACACATTGTTTTTCAGGTCAATCGCCACCTCATCGGCACTCTGGACGATCCAGCACCGTCGAACACCTTCCTGTTGATAGAGCTCAGTGTCTTTCTCACGAAGAGTAGAGATCACGCCTTGCAAAGCAGTGCTGAGACAGGACGAAGTAGCCGTTGTGCTAGCCAAGGGTTTGTGAGGAGGCTGTTCATGAATGGTGCGAATTGAAGGACTAGAGCGAGTGCGTGGGGGGACGGGACAAGTATTCTGTGTTGTGACTCCAAGAATGCTGCGAAGAGCTGGAGGAGACTTGTGGGCTTTCAAYACATAGTATAGGTAAGGCAGGGTATCAGTGTGGGTATAACCCCAATGGTGATTCCATRGTGCATGGTGGTTGAGCACATCAGCGACGGATTCATGAGGACGAGTATAAGTGGGACTGTCCAAATGGGTAGAGAGGTGAAACAAATACCAATTCTTGCAACAAATTGCCAAATTGTGGGATGATTTGTCCACAGGAACAATGGCAAAGTGTTGTTGCAGATGGCGTAAGGAGGCATGTGCACAACGAAGTGAATGTTGCTGGCTCACATGATTGGAAGACGAAGTTGCATTGGATTGACAATGCCCAAGGATTGCAGAACGCCAGCTGTGCAATTTCTGAGAAAGGGACGAGAAAGAAGCAGATTGAGAGTATATATATATATATATATCGTCACAAATAGTATATATATATTGTCACATCACTACAAACTAAAAGAGCGCACTTTGCGGAACAAAGAATAAAAGCAAAAAACGGGCACAGTGATAACATGCAAAAATAAAAA